TCTTTCCTGCTCCAGGCATCTGGCTCCCCTCGGGGAAAAAAAAAAGGGAGGACACAATAAAAAGATGAAGGACCCTTTCGGCTCCCACTCTGACCTCAGCTAAGCAGTGAGAAAATGGATTGTCCTGGACCTTTCATGTAATCTTTCTGCATTTCTAAAACACAGCTGCCCACAGGATGCAAGCCCCTGCATTTACATTACAAAGTGCAGAGAGGCTCTTCCAGATGGGACAGCTTCTCTTTGTTGATTTTAACCATTAGCTCCCAAACCCAGCGTAGGTCTGCTCCCGCTATTCAGAGAGTCCTTCAGCACAGAGGGGACCCCACAGCCTGCCCCAAAGGCGACCGGAGGAGGCCTGGTCCCATGCAGCAAAACGGACAGGAGAGCACGCAGCAGCACGCAGCCTCCTCTCTCCTGTGATGGGTATCTCTCATTTGCAAAGTTCAATTGCCCATTTCTACGTGTTCAGTAGGCAAAAAAAGAGCTCTGTAAATCAGGTGTGTGGAAAGTGCCTACTTCGGTTTTCATTAGCTATTGTATTTTTGTTTGTATGTATTAAAAAGGGTGGCTGCTCTTTGCACACGCTGGAATGTATGCTACAGGCACCTGCCACAAAGACACCCGTGGAGAGGAGAGATCTGGCCCAGCTGAATGCAGGCAGGCGGCAGCAGGCTCCCGAGGAGGCTGAACCACGGGCGCACGCTGCACGGTGCTGCTGCTGCTGCTTTTTACAGGCTGTGGAAAGAGGTGAAATTCCTCCGGGTGAGAAGAGCAGGACAGAAATCTGGGGCTCGTTGTACGCAGAATTCGCTCACTGTGGTCTTAAATCTGGGCAAAAGGCTGAGTCAAAGTGCTTCACCCGGCTTAGAAGAGGCTCACTGTGGGTTTAGTCAAGTTGATTAGAAATAAGTTTTAAGATAAAAGAAGCCAGCTAACCTAATGCAGGTATCAACAGGGCAGATTAACAGTAAACCAATGCAAAACATGGAGTTTACTGTAACTTTTTTTCATACTAATCTTATAAGCACACTTGAGATACAAAAATAGGATTTAAGCTCCCATCTCTGCAGCAGAATGAGGACGTGATTAAGAGCCCTACCTACATGGATCTCTCCCCAACTTGGAGAGATACTGCTGAGCCTCTGAGCAGTTAATTCTGTAGCAGTGCTACTGGCTTCAGGGACAGGGGAGCTCTTCGGAAGGCGAAGGAATTCTGCATTAAGAAAACATAAGATTAGTATGAATGGACTATTTTGCAATCCACTCCCCTTCTAACCAGGTCAATGGAGAAGAGATCCCCAGAGCCAGCTTACGGGAGGTCCTAGAAATACTCCAGAGCACAGGGGAACAGATTACACTGGAACTGCACAGACAGAAGTCTGCCCACGAGCCTCCCCAAACATCTGATGCTGCAACCCAGATGGACTTCGGAGCAGGGAACGAGCAATGCCACAAGGAAGAGCCCTGCAGTAAACTGGGTTTAAATCCCTGCCTAGATGGGTATGTACAACGCGTTGCTCAAGGTAAAGAAATGTCTCCTAGAAAGCAGCAACAGCAGAGCACGCGAAGCACAAGGTGAGCCAACATGTCTCGAAGCTGAATTTCTAATCAGTGGCATCTGCTAACCTTAAAACAGGCTGATTGAGCTCCTGCCCAGCCCTGGTTCTTTGGTTTGGCCCTTCAGACAGTAACAAAAATACGGCCCTCAGCATGCCAAAGCACAGAGCCAGCCCCTCTCGCGGGGCTGGGGAGGGACCTGTGTTTCTGTTTGGTTTCTCTGCAGGGCTTTCTTTGATTACTTGCTGCCACAGGATTGCAACAGCGATAATGAATCTAATTACCCACTTCTTGCACCCTGTGCCACAGAAGGAGAGTTGAACTATAAGGTATCCCATCCCATTTTGCCTCCATACCTTCTGAAAATCTTTTGCGGTCACCTCAGCCTTACATCATCAGGTTTGCTAAACCAGATTTAACGTTCCCTGCTCTCACTATACTGCTCTTTCAGGCATTAGCCCTTGTTCATCAAGATGAGTTGAGTTTCAGCAGCTGTCACTCCATCCCTGTGGCTCTCCCCCGCGTCTCTGGGAGCTTGGTAAGGCCACGTATCCGGTTGTTTACAGCAGTAGCAGGGAGAGCTTAAGGCAAGAGAGAAATCCTGCCGTTGCATATGGCTGGAGGATGCTTAGAGAGATGACTCACGCTCAGCCAGGGAGAATAGCCCCAAAGATATCTAACAGCTTGTGGGTGTTTGGTTTTAGGCAGAAAGAAGGCAGTAAAGGCAAAGAAGAAAAGCAGGCGTTTCTCCATCCCGAGTGGGACAGCAGCCTGGGCTTTACCGACACCAGCACTCAGCCAGGTGAGAATTCAGGGCCTGACGCAGGAGCAGAACCAGCCCACGGCCAGGAGGGTCCCAGCGCAGATCTCTCTACCAGCACACCTGCACGGAGAGGACTACTTAGGGACGACTTCCCTACCTATGATGAGTTAAGCAATTCCAGTTTCTGTGGCGTAAGCGCAGAGGAGCGCAGATTTCAAGAACTGGAAAGCAGATGCAGCCAGTACAGCCCAATTTCCAGGGAACAAGAAACCCCTCACGGGTCAGGAGGGGGGCTGCAAGCAATGCGAACAGGACCAGTGGCTCCCTAAGTGCCTTCAGATCCATGCAAACAGCACCCCAAGAGAGAAAGGGCTGCAGCACTGGGGTGAACTCTGCCTGCAGAGTGCTGCGAGCTGGGACGGAAATAAAGTCAGCGAGGACAAACCATCAGCACAGGCCATAGGCGTATGCCCACCACCACACATCGCTGCCGGCTCAAAAGAGCGTACGATTCCTCACCACGCAGGTCATTCCAGGAGCTACGTGAGCTTGCTGCAGGAAAAGGCTGCTGCAGGGTGTCTAAGCGACCCAGCTAGAGTGTCAGCAAAACCAAGGCGATGCAATGAAAGCCCAGAGGGCAGAGCAGGGGATAACGGGAACAGATGGAGGCTGGCATGCGAAAGGAGAAAGTGGTCCTTGGAGAAGCAACACAAGAACTGGCCGCTAAAGGACAGGGCCTTGAGAATCACAGAATGAAGCAGACTGACCACAGACGAGGATGCCCTCAGCGAGCTAAAGACTGGGAAATACTGGAATAAGGCTCAGAGAAAGCAGCACATGCTCCTAGCCAAGGAACAGAAACAGAGAAGAGCATTGCAGAGCCAGAGGGAACAGCCGAGCGAAGACAAAGCCAGCACTGAGCACAGCAGAAACTTCGGTATTGTAGAGCTGAGTCGGAGGAAACTGATGAAGAACAGAAGCAAGAAAATCTTGGACAACTGGATCACCATCCAGGAGCTTCTGACCCACGGGACCAGGTCGCCAGACGGAAGAAGGACATACAGTCCCTTGCTGTCACAACTGTGCAGCAACCCTCCTGTCCCTTCCCAGAGAGGCACGGTCACCCCAGGCACCAGGAAGGAACTGTGCATGTTCCCGAAGGCATCTTCTCTCACTGCAGAATGGTTTCCCCCAACGTTTCCAAACTTCTGCTGGTTATTGTGCCCATTAAAGTCTCCCCGCAGAAACAGGGAACTCGGTAGAACTACAAACTGAGAATTCAAGCCTGACGACAAGCTTGCTTCTCCACTCAAATCCAGCTAGGCAGCCCCAGGGTCCACAGATCACTGCCCTGGTATACTGATTACCCACTTCACTGTACACAAAGATTTGGCTCACTACATATCAGCCCGATTTTTTTATATAGGATACTCTGCAAATAAGGTACTTACTTCTAGATCTATCTCTTTCTATATTAAAGCTTTTTTGTTGTTGTTCTGGTGAAAAGAAAAAAAATAATAGTATGCTTCAATCTTTAATATTAGAGTCGTATCATTCTTTTCCCCAGAACTGGGTGTGCTATGCATTCCTGTACTTTAGTTCACAGATGGAAAAAGGAACCAGACTTAGTAAATATAGTTGTTTACTGTAAAATAAGAGACAAAGTAGAAAGAGAAGGCACTTAATAGGTCCCTCTGTGGATTCTGCTACCAAGGGGGAAACAATACTCCCTACTGAGTTGCTGCATGTTTTATACTTATTAATCGCCAAGAAAAATGAAAGATCCACAAGCCCACTGAACTCTTCCCTTCCCCCCCCCTTTAAAGATTTTAGGAATGAGCTCAGCTCTGACTCATGATTAAAAACACCCAGTTATGCTCCTAAGCAGCAGTGCTCAAATTGAAGATTTGCTTCTGCTACCCAATGCTCCCTGCTTCACTATTCTACACTACAAAGGAAATAGTGCAAGCTCCAAGCTACCGCCTGAAGACACTTTATGGTTTTCTGGGCTCTAGCAGAGGGAGATAAATCTCCCTGGAAGAAGCAGGCAGTGGTGGTCCACCCCTCCTGCCCACACTGCCCCACAGCTGCTGAGGCTGGCCCACCTGGATCTGATGGAGAGGACACCAGACAGCCAGGAAACCTGGTTTGTATGCCCACCTCAAAAGCATCCTTACTTCTTTGAACCTCTTGCTAGAGAAACACCATCTACCAAACTGTGATCTGTCAGCTCACATCACCACAGAGTTCTGTGCAAAGCAGAAGAAATTCGAGGAAATAAGACAGGAATCAGGATTGCAAGTTATTAGCTAAATAAAAAAAACCCCAAACACCTAGAGGTAAAATAAAGGCCAGCTAGAGGAGCATGGCCAGGTAGTTAGCAGTGGGCAGTTTCTGTGGCTCAGTGTCCTCTAAGTCCTGCCTGGACCATTCCAGCCCATCCTTTCACACAAAGTGGAGGCAAACTGCCGTGCCCCATCTGGAGCTACTGTCTGCACTGCTCCATTAAGACTCACGCCCTGGTGCTACAGTCCTGTACTAACTTTCTGGACTCTGAAGCTTAAGAAAATATTTGGTAATAAACTGTCAGCCAGAAAAAAAAAAGTGACAAACATCACCCTGAAATACTGGATCAATACTAATAAAGAGACAGAGACGAGCAATTGTATTAAATCTCCGTTCATTTCTCCGCAGCTCTCCTTCCCATAATCTTCTGCAAGAAGTAGAGAGCCATGCTCACCAAGACACCCCCTACCACTCCACTTCCAACTCCTATCAAGCATTCATAAAACAATTCTCCTTGCCAAAAGTGCTGCTGCTCTTGCACTTCTTCATGGGTGCTGTCTTCTGTGTTTCCTTCCTCCTCGTTTGCTGCTAGCTTCTGTTCCCACGTCAAGAATTTTTGGAAGTCCAGATCCACTAAGTCATTTTGGATCACTCTGACCCCAAAGTAGGCCCTCTTGATGACTCGGAATGTCTTCAACATCTGCACGTCACATCGGTAAGTCCCTGCATCAGACTCCCTGGTAGGGGAAAATCTGATGACAGAATCGGGGTTTTGGAACGGTTTGAACAGTGCATCGTTTGTGGTGATAAGGCCTTGGGCAAGCCTCCACATATAGCTATAGGTTCGGTTAGCAAAGCCAACTGCGTCCGAGTTCAGGCAGCTGAACTGGAAGGGCTTGCCCACAGGGACGGTGAAGTGGATTAAGCCACAAGCCCAGCTGGTCAGGCAGTCGGACCGGCGCACGGTACAGTTCCTCCTCTCCCCGGCGGGCGTGATCTCGCACATCTCCTCCACTTTGAAGCCCGGCCCACAGGTGACGCTGCAGGATGTGGCGTTGACTGCGACTCTCGCTACAGCCGACTTCAGCTCTGCTGGGATGGTGACTTTTTCAAAGGCAACTACCAAGGGTAGATAGAAAACACAAAGTAATATCCCAAGGACGTGGCTGTTCCCCAAGGTCTTCATATCAGGGTTATCCATCAGACATACTGCTCTCTAAAGCTGTGCAAATTCAGTAGTCAAAAAAACCCAAACCCACAAATCATTCTTTGTAAGCCTTCAGACTAAGCACTTCTGAAATCCCACCAGCATCATCTTCAAGACACAATCGTTCCGTTAGGAAAAATCCTCCAACAAACAGGCTTGTACAACACTGCTAAAGAAGATGCAACACGTTACTACGTCAGTCAGTGTGAATCGTGAATTCCAGTTCTTGTAACATGGCAGCAGAATGTTTTAATCCACTATATTCCAGCGATTGGGATATATTTTACAATTTTAAAAAAGATGAAGTCCTCCCTTCTCTGTAAGATTTTACATACTATTTTAGATGAATTTCCACTGTAAAGAAGTACTGTTCCAGTTGAATTTTCCCACCAAACTATAAAGCAATATAAGTAATCATTACTGGAACCCTTAAAATAATGCTGTTGAGCATAAGGAAATCCTAATTCCTTATGCAGCGCCTGTACAGTTCTGTCTTATGCATGCGTATCCCAAAATCTAAAGTACTCTGCAAGCTGCCAAGATCACAAAAACATGATTTCAACCTCTAGATAGTCTGCTGGCACTGACATCGAAGGGAGGCTGAACAGTATTTTATCACTGGTGATATCCATCTCTACTCGGGGCTCAGCACAGTCACTCACATCTCCGCGAGCCCGCGTTCCCGGGGAGCGGTGCCAATGTCACAGTCCGGCCGCCCGGGTCAGAACGCGGCCCCAAACCTTCCGAGGGAGAGCACAGAACTCCCCTAAGTCTGAAGCCAAAGCGAGTCCTCTGAGTACTCAGCATAAAAGCATCGTATTAGGCTCCTCACACCCACTATCAGAAGGGATTCAACAGCCCTGGCCTCACGGCATCACTCAGAGGAGCTACGAGTCCGAGCTCCGTGCTCTGCGTCACATACAGCCACCGACTCCGAAGAGCGATCTGAGCCAAAATCTCCGCGTTCAACTGATGCGTCTGAAAAACAGAAGCCACTCGTACACCCAGAATAAGTCATTTAGTGCTCGAGCGTCCCAAAAGAATAACACACTACTAAAAAAGTTCTTCATGGAAAAAAATCAAAGTTACTTATTGTTGATGGTGTAATCGAACTGGGGTCAAGCCAGTTCAATAATCAGTGTCTCCTTACCAGCAACTGAATTATGGATTGCAGAAAGGATTTGGATTGCTGTGTTCTTCAACAGGTCTTCTGCTACATGAATATCCATATTTCTCTTCCTAACAATCCTTAATTTATTAAAACGAAGACTTCTGAAGATCTAGTATAGATATGTTCCACATTCGGTTTCCCCGGAGGTGCACTCCACACCCAGCACGCTCTGTGTTCAGCTCCCCTCTCGCACGTCTGTCTCAGAGCGCCTAGGCTGCGCTCAGCTGTACAGGGTTTTATTAGACTACAGATTTACTCCTGCCTCTTGAAAAGAGGCCAGCAACTAAATGCCACGCTAAAAAACCAACCAACCAACCAACACCGCACCAGCTGTGGTGAAGGCGCAATATGTTTGTGTTTGCAGGGGAGCTGTATTGTAGGATTCCTAAACATCGTCACAATATAAACAATCACGGAAATATGGAAAAGCCAAAACTTACCCATTGACTTTAGGAAATAAAACATACCTCTTTATTTACAAACACAAAAACTAACATCACTGCTGTATACTACCATCAAGCCAGTATCTGACAAATATTGTACAAAACTACAGATACCAAAAAATAAAATAGAAGATGGAAGAAAATAAACCAAGGACATATACACTGTACAGACAAGTTTTAACAGAAATGAAGGCTGGAGTCTGTGGCAAATTATATGCTTTAAAACCATCTAGAGAACCATTGCCTCTGCATCCTTTAAAGCTTGGGGGGGTCAGCGACACCACACACGGGTGGATTTGACGTAACAGTGTTCCAGGAAAGATGCGAGTCATCCTACGAGCAAAAAGAACAAAGAAAACTAATACTGTACGCATGGGAATGAATTTCATTAAATGAAGCAGGCCACTGTACCAAAGCCGGAAATGAAAATACCAGTTTTAAAAAACCTTCTGATTTAAAATGTCTCCTCTCTTCCCATGCTTGTATCTCATGCAACTACCGCACACTTCCGACTGCAAATTAATAAATCTCTTTATGACTCCTCTTCTTGGTTTTTAATGTCTGCAGGATACTTTGAAAATTTAAATATGTAGTGATAATCTCAATTATTACATCTGGGGAAAAACTGAAAGTAATTGCATAGGAACTATAAAAGTCTATAAAACAAGGGGTATTAGGAATGAAAACTTTCTTTTAACAGGTGGTTGGTCTAGTACAGAGAGGTGTCAGGCTGTAGGCGTTGGATAGAGAAAGTGTCTCTTCCCATTCCCACAAGGAAAACATTACAACCGTCTCTAAGAAATGAAAAGTTAAAGCATGGCTGGGAATGAGCTGTTAGCATTCATCTTTCTTCCATTCTCGATCCAGAAGTGGGGGAAAAAAAAAAACAAACTGAAAAACTACCGTTTCAGTTTGGAGAAATATTGGTTGTTTTTTCTGTAACTGCCAGTACCTACCAGCAAAGAAGGAAACCAATGGTCCCTGGTAGGGCACCTCAGAGGAAAGAGACGGAATGAAAATACTTGCACGGACAGAAAGAAACTGCCAACACAGCTTTTCATATCACAGGCTAGAAGAAAGCACATAAACCGAGTATTTTATCTAGAGCTACTTTCACTTGTTCCTTTTCCCATAAGCAGAGTCATCCTTCATGTCTAAAAACTTCACAATATGAAGATTCATTCTTTGCAGACTTCAGAGGGCGTCTTGATTCTTCACGTTAGATCGCTAGCCACTCGAGATGAAATCAAACCTGGCACATCATCAGCAATAGTGTTTCGCTAAGCACGTCAGCACAGAAGACATCGCGCTGAGCTAACAGAAAAGCTGGCAAGGTAATGCAGCTGGCATAGAAGGACTTACAACTCACTGAAATGAAAATTAACAGCAAAGAAAGGGAAGTTTCCGGGATACACAGTCATATGGCATCGGGAATAAAAATACACACTTTGGGTGTTCTTCAATCCAGGAACAAAAAAAAAAATATTTAAAAGACAATGGCTGATAAGCTGTGGAGTGGCAGAGCGTTGGGTACCAGCTCACGTTAGAAATAGCGATAGATGTCACCACAAAGGCAGTCCAGTTATTCTCTTTGCAAATCGCATGACCTGAGAGTCAGCATCTTACACTGTTCGATGAAGAGGCAGTTAAGGAGGAATGAAGGCCGTTTCCTCTTCCATATTCACTTCTTACAAAAGTCACTCCCTGAATCCATGATCAATCAGTCTACTGTATTAGTCAGTCCACTCTGACCGAGCATTTAATTTATTTTCCACATTATGGTGCCAATAGAGGAAAGAATACAGGAAGATAAAGAAGAGTGTCTTCATAACAATTCTGAGATTGCACCACCTGCTAAAGAGATCAAAGACAGGCGAAAATTAAGTAATCAGACTCAAACAGACGTTACCAGAAACCAGAGACCACCACACATGGTAGCATTTCCAGGAAAAAAAAAAAAAAAAAAAAAAAAAAAAGGGGAGAGAAATTTTTTAAAAAAAAAACTATACATGGGAACCCCCCACACAGTGTAGCATTTCAAGGAAAAAAAAAAAAAAAAAAAAAAAAGAGAGAGAGAACGATTTTCTAGATAAAGCCATTCTTTTCAGAATGAAATATAATCAACAAGACACTGCCTATGACAAATTAAGATCTCGAGTATTTTTCTGCATTTGTATTTGAGATCACGTGCACAGGCATGGGCAAGGTGGCTAAGGAACTCTGAGCTTTTAACTCCACAAAGTTGCAAGCAAACTTACCTGGTGTAAAATTTTTTTGATTCATCAATCCCAAAATCTCAGAGCAAAAGCACAACTGAAAACAACAAGTTCCACCTAAGTTTGGGTTAAACCAGATTGCCGTAAGATTTTATTCTACGGCTATAAAATGGATCAAGCTTCTCAGTTTGTTTATACTGCAACCTGAGTTTGACATAGCAGTTTTAAGAATAAGACATTTAGTGCCAGACTGCGCAGCACAGCGACACAGACCCACTTGCAGCAGCTCCGAGTCCCGGCCACGCAGCTTGCGGAAAGACACTGTATTATGGCATATCAGCAAACAGTTTCCAGAGAAAGGCTTGTTGTGACTGTTTTAGCCACTGATTAGTTACTTCAGAAAGCACCAGCACAAGGAACTAGCAGAATTAACAGCTTCATGCACGAGAGACAGAAAAGGCAGTCTGGCGTCAGGATCCCAAGCAGGTGGCCATTTGAATTTGGAAGCGTTTATTTGCACATAGTGGAACACCGACAACCCCAAGAAAAAACTGGCTGCCCAAAATAGGAATTGTAAGTGCAAGCCGTAAAGAGGACAAAGGAAGACAGACATGAACTTCACGGACTAAAAGACTACTGTGAGTTTGGAAAGATCCAAGTGACAGTTTCTTTCAGTGGACAATCTGTTCTTCTCCTAACATGACTCATATAGACACTTCCAACACCGCGTCCCGAGATCTACTGCACGGATCTATTAGATCCTCTTAAGTCAACAGGACCGTAGAAGGGAGCGTAATAACAGGTCCTAATGGACAGAAGTCCATTATAGCGATATTATTTATTTGCCTATAGCTCAATCAAGCTAAAGAACACCACCATGGAAAAATACCTTAAAGTGCTTACAGGCAATAAAGACTAAAAGTAAATTTTAGAAAGCTCTACCATCTCCAATAGATGGTCAAGTAAGTAGGGAACTTGGGTCTAAACCCATTTGTTCGTAAGAAAAGAAAATTTCCGTTTTACAGTGTCCAAGACCCAAAGCTAACTGTACTGGCGCAGGTATGCACATCCCAAGCTCAGCAGCAGTAGCCTGTAAAACTCCACTGTTGTCTTTAATAGCAGATCAGATTATAACAACTGCACGGGAGCATTACAAGCAAAACCACACAAAAATCCTCCCAAATACTGCTTTGCAAGGATGTGTAAAAAAAACAAGGAAGGAGCCTGCCTAGAACGTTGCTTCATTTGAAATGTGTTAGAGGAAACGGGAGTAGTATTTTTCCAGCTCTCAGAACAGACTGATGCAATGGCGATCGCAAGCTGCAGGAAGAAAAGTACCCTGAGGTCTGTCTACACGTGTAGATCATTCCAGTGCACGACTCTCTCTCATTTATATCCTTTTGCATACAGTCATGTTAATTAGCAGCGTGATAAAAGAAAGCAATCAACAGGCCTGCTGATGAAACGAACGGTTATACTCATTTGGTCTTCAAACCGATCTTGTCCATCCAGCACGGCACAACAGAGCCATCAGGATGCGTAACAGATGCCAGCAAAAACATCCGAGGATCCACACAATCCAGACAATTCCTTACTATCACACTTTAAAACATACTGGATGCCTCCTAATGACTTGAGGAGTCAAAAGAGAATCACCCTGTCCGGTAAATCTGACACTAGAAGCTACTTAATACCTCCCAGGGTATAAACAAGGGCTAAGGATATTCTTGGCTCTCTGTTTAATCTCTGGATTTTGCAAGGTGCAATGTGAAAGGATTAACTGGAAGCCCAGAAAACATCCACCACGTTTTTCCATGTATAGACTAAGTTTCTTTTATCACATTCCCTTTTTCTGCAAACAGCGGTTATCAGTACGAGTACAAGCAACATACCAGGAGCTGAGCAGGAAGGACAAGGAGCAAGGTGGGTAGCACAGGACCAGCAGTGAGGGAAGGAAGGGGGGGGAAAATCAAATCACTTCTGTACAGCCTAAAATCCACAGCAGCAGCTGCTGAGTTCAAGGAAACGCAAAATTTGATACATCAATTACACTGTGTCTTTGGAACCGTTTATGTATCAACCCTGAGTTCCTTCATTACAAGCTGTAAAAATAATGGAGTCTACATCACTGAATCCAAACGTGTGCTTTCTTTACTACACTTGAATGAACTTCTCCCAAATCAGAAGCTGAAGTAGCCAATGAGACAGATGGGAAACACTTAGTCTCTCTGTGAGACTAAGTCTGGGTCCCAACAAAAGTGACTGCCACAGTCCTGTTTTAGGACACAACCAACAAAATATGACCAAAAAGAAAAAAAGAGAACAGTCCACCAAAATCTATCCTCATTTACAGCAACGGTACTTTCTGGAATTTAACTGAGGCTGCTGTATAGCTCGGAATAGAAAATTCAGCTCCTGAATTTTATCTCAGGGTTCGTTTATCAAACGGCTCCATTTCCTAGTTCTGCTTACAGAACTTTTCTTCATCACTCTGTCTTGTATTGATGGCACAAAATGCCAACTTAAGCTTCAGAATCCTTCACTATTTACATTTTTCCCCCCTCAAAATCAACCCAGCAAAACCAAACGTTATTACTGTTTATGTAAGAGTTGATAGAAGTTATTGAAAAGATTAAAGTCGTTGAAAGAAATTTTGCTTTTGAAATAGCGCTCAGTCTCTATTAAAAACCCTACATGCTCTTTACATGCAACAACACAGGCACGCATATCAGTTTTATTAAAAATACTGAAAGCACTTCCACTTAAAAAAATGTAGAATTTTACCTATCCTTGACAGCAGCTAAACGTTTAGTGAGCAAGTGCCATCGGGAAGATAAAATGCTACGGCTATATTAAGTCAGGGTCTGTACAAAGCAAGGCCACCAAGCAAGCCAACGACGCTCACGCTGGGTTCTCCTTACCTGTCAAAGGCTGTCCCAGCTCCGCCTGCACTTTACCCTTCGCTGCTCCTTCCAGAGGTAAAGCACCTCTGTCCCCTTTGTAGAGTTTCGGTTTAAATGGAGAATCTTTGTCTTTACCTTTTGATCCTTTAGGCCTGCCTGCTTGCTTCTTCTTGGATTTACCATCTCCCTTCACACCCAGCAGCGGATGGACTTCTGTGGAGAGACAATGGGTTACCAAAGGGAGTTCTCTCTTGGGATGCTTCTATCAGCACACACAACGCTAAAAATTACAGTTTCAGCATGCCTTTACTCATTCCCAGTTTGCAAAATGCCAGCAAAATTTGCAGTTGGTGACCACTCATAGCTGCTGTAAGAAGTGACTTCACAGGAAGGAGAAAATTAAGGAGTGATCTTCTGGACTTCTGGTCTTCAGACCAGCTCAGATACAGACTAGGCAATAAAACAACGGCAGCTTCTACGCACCATCATTAGGTACTCCTTGTAGTTCAATGTTGGTGGTTTTGGGCTTCTTCTTTGGTGCCTGAGGTCCATCAGAGGAGGACTGCCTCTTCTTCTCAGAACCTATTCCCTCATCAGTTAAAGAGCTCTGAACCGCGTCTGGTGGAGGTCCGTAGGGGTTTTCTTCTGGATCTTCAACTTCAGGAGCAATGGGTAAGTAAAGCAGAGCCTTGGAGTCCTCCAGTTCTTCATCGCTGTGAAGGAAAAAAAAAATTGCTTTCGTTTAAAATTAGCGGTTATTGTAACATTATACAGAGAATCTTAGTGATACATTTTGTATTCATACTTTAAACAAAACAATTACTCGTTCACCTGCTACAGAAGGCAGCAATGGGATCCACACTCGTTACATCCACTTCTTCATCTTCTGCAGCATCAGCACCTGAGAATCAGGGAAAAACAGAAGAATTAAAGACAGTAAGGAAAAGTCCAAATGACTTGGAAAGAATGAGACTGTGCTTAAATGTCTCAGCATGCAGAAATGAGAATTAAAGCAGAAAACAAACCTAAAGAATTCCCTCTTAAATCCGTCAGGTTTTTATTTTTTTTTCCTATGTTCTAATACAGATCTATTGTTATAAAGCACTAGTAGTAAAGCCAGATAGAAGATTTTAAATCTTCTAAATGTTTTGTTGGTTTCACTAAAATAGTTCTTAATCAGATAAAGTTTGTTTCAAAGCTTAATTCGCACAAGCCAACGTTACACCTGAGTATTAAAAACTGCTAAACAACAATTAATCTAACTATGAGAAGTGCTGCAAAGCCTGGTCATGCGGAGAGCTCTGTGGTGTGCTGGGAACAACCCTTATTTCTTTCCATAGTTGAACTACAGTCTTCCACAGCACACAATTTTTTGGCACCACCAAGTGGCCAGGCTGTGCTGCTCATGATTCCAATTCAGCACTGCTTCTGTCGAGAGCAAGCCCGTGTGATATATGTCTATTTGCTATCGCTTTTTGCTTAAACATATATTGGAGAGGGGAAGCATTTCTAAAAAAAATGCTGCATGTCAATTGGCAGGAAGCATATCAACAGTGCTAGTTCATGCATCTTCATTTATTCCGCTCCTGTTTTGTCCCTTAACGCCCATGTATACTACTGTGACCACTAGTTTTAATTTTAACCACGCTCATGTATTCAGACTACAAACTATTTGCTACACAGAAACACAGTTTATGCAGTACCTGTCTGTTCTGGTTCACTCTTATCTTCATCTTCAATGTCAAACTCTGACTCTCTCTCTTCATATTCTACATTTTCATCCAGCTCTTTGAAGTCAGGCGCAAAGGCGCTCCAGTTTTCCTAAACCACAAATTCAAAACAATTTTTACCTTATCCAAAGGAACAGCAGTTGAGGACTCATGCAATTACAATCTCATTCTGCATTAAAATCCCTCATGCAAGATCACAAAAATCAAGCCTCATTCAGGTTCACAGTCACATGGCAAATTAGAAACTGCGCAAGTTAGCTCCTACTGAAAATATGACATTGTAATATTCCTTAAATATTGCAATGTATGTAATAATTACCCCTAAAAGCAAAGCTGTATGTTCACGTTTAGCCACTTAAGTTTTGGCTCGCTTGCAGAGATTGCCTGCACTTACACGACACATTCAGGACACCATTTCCACATAAAGCGTCCCCGTGATGATGTTTAAGTCATTAACACAAAGCTTGACTAGTTCAGCAACTGAAGTGCGAGCACCCTCCTCACATTCAACAGGATGGCAAACATATTTCAAGTTAGACAGGTGAACCTACCGAGCTTGTTGAATTGGGATTTAATAAAGGGTTTCTACATGCAATAATTCAGTCTACGAGTATGGAGAGCAGTGGGAACCCCCTTAAGGAAATGATCAAAAACGCTTACCACTTGATTCTGAGCCCATATTGACACAACACCGCTTGAAATAGAAGCTATGATCGGTCGGACAGGATGCCACTAGATTTATTTGAAAGAGAAAAGAAGAGGAACTTAATTGGTAAATGGAATTAAGAAAGCCGAGTTTTCAAAATAACAAGAAACATCGGAATAGCAGACAGTTTTCTTACTGCTACATCCAAGAGCAGCTCTCCTCTGGTCCCATGGAGGATTTTCACTAGGTTTCCAATACTCTTCTCCCAGATGTAGAGGGCGTGCTGTCGTGCTGACCCTGCCACTATATATTCACCATCGCCAGAGAAACAGCACTTCTTCCACGGTGTCCTGTGTGGAAAAACAACATCGCAAGTTAACAGTTAAACAACAGCACAACACGGAGGATGGAGGACTGCGGAGTGGGCTTGCTCTGCAGACTGAGATCTCACATACTCCCATCCACAAATAATATTTAAATTTCTAATCAAGTCGTGACAGACAGGTTTCATATGAAAGCATCTGTCCGTTACACTGAATAAGATACCGAGCTACACTTCATCCCGAGACTCCCATTAGTGCAGCGCACACAAACCTCACCTTTACAAGTCCGGCTGCCCAGCCATTCTGCTGCCTCTTACCTGTTCACTAAATCCTGCAGCTTCTGCATCGGTTCAGGCTCCCCATCTCGTCCACAAGTTAGAATTTCACGGCCATCGTACACCCTGATTATCCGGTCAGCTGTGTTTATTAAAAAACAGCTGTAGGAAGGAGGGCACAGAACATGCATTGCATTAGAAGACTAAGAAAACAAAAATTAGAGTATGTTCCGTGAAAGAACTGTGGGGGGGTTTAAGACCTTGTATGCTCTGTCAATCTACTCTATAGCTTTCAATTCATCTTTAAAGATGCCACCCGATAGAGGAAGTACCTCACCTTCCTTTCCGAGCAAATTCAATTGATTTAATAGCTGTGGTATTGCTGGTTCCAGTTGTCACTCTGAAGGAAGCAACAAGATCCTGAGTGTCTGTTTTTAAGACCAGGATCTGAAGATTAAGGAGACAGAAGGCAATCAGTGTCTTCAGGGTAACTCATTCCCCTTTCGGTGCTGCCGTGGTTCAACCCCAGCCAGCAGCTGGGCCCCCACCCAGCCGCTCGCTCACTCCCCCCCCCCAGCGGGATGGGGGACAGAATCGGAAGGGCAAAAGTAAGAAAATTTGTGGGTTGAGATAAGAACAGCTTAGTAATTGAAAAATAATAATGATGATGATGATAATAACAACAACAAAAATGTAGTGAAAAGGAAAACAACAACAAGAACAAAAAAAAAAAGAGAGGACCAAAACCCTGGAAAAACAAGTGATGCAACTGCTCACCATGCACTGACCAACACCCAGCCCATCCCTGAGCAGCAATCGCTGCCCCCCAGCCAACTCCCCCAGTTTCTATACTGGGCATGATGTCATATGGTATGGAATAGCCCTTGGGCCAGTCTGGGCCAGCTGTCCTGGCTGTGCCCCCTCCCAGCCTCTTGTGCACCTGGCAGAGCAGGGGAAGCTGGAAAGTCCTTGACCAGTGTAAACACTACTTAGCGACAACCAAAACATCAGCGTGTTATCAACATTACTCTCATAGTAAATCCAAAACACAGCACTACACCAGCCACTAGGAAGAAAATTAACTCTATCCCAGCCAAAACCAGGGCAGATACCTTTCACATCAGCTACTAACCCCGGCACCAGAAGCCTCAGCAATCTACACAGGAAGAGCTGGGATTCTCCTCTACTACAGTTTCTGTGACATAAACATTGGTTTATTTACACTGGAAAAGGATCCAACAAATAGGGTCAAAGACAACAGCAACACAAAGACCTGACTCAGACAAAGTCTTATAGTCTAGAGACCTTCAAAGATAAAGTGTGACGCTTCATTCAGAAAATCACATCAGTGCAATATCAATTATTCAAGAGACATTCAGGAAGCCTTCCTTGTGTATTAAAACAAAGAACGCAACCCAGAAACGTTAAGCGTCTTGATAAAGACAGGAAGGAATCTAAGCTATTGCGTCCAGTGCCGCCTGCTAAAGTCTCACCTTCCCCTTGGCGTTGCCCGTGTAAATGTATTCCCCTCGCCTGTCAAAGGAGGCCACAACATTGAGATCAGAATCATCATCCACGGGCAGGACAACGTGTTTGGAGTCTGACAGCGTTAGCATCACCGGCGCCGACTTCATGGGACAAACCAAAACTCTGTTTCTAGAAAGCAGAAAAAGAAGAGTTAATAGTTTCTTCTCTGGAAAAGAAGCTTCCACATTTAGAAGTAAGAAAAAAATCTCAACCTGTAGCAAGAAATACAGAATACCTCTATATTTTTATTATCTTATTTCATTTTTGTTACTTCAGTTGCAACATGACATTCAGCTGGTGTCTGCTTTCATTTCCTTTCTTGCTCTGGACGCTTCTACAAGTTTATGCGGTAACTTGTAAACTCAACAAGACATTTCTAAGAATTATTCTTTTGTTTACTCTCCTCCCTTCCTGATATTTTCATAATAAAAAGAGCCACAACAAATCCAGTTAGGGTTCTAATCACAAAAAGAAGACACACTGACGGCATCTACTAGGTTTGGAAAAAATCACTTTGCAAACTGCAACACAAACATTTTAATAACCATTTGTTCTACCGAAGTGAGAGCAGTTCTACCAAAATGAGAGCACTTGACTCTTTTTTCACAGGACTTACTGGTCTCGAGGGTGGTACTGAACTTTCAAGATAGGCGAAGGAAATCGAAATCTCTGGTCGCAGTCTCCCGAGAGCACATCCCACTGCGACACAATGTTATCGGTCGAAGCACTCACCAGTTTGTGACCGTCTCGACTCCAGCTACAGTAACGAGAGGCAGTTCAAGTAAAAGTTACTCCTTAGATGTATAAAACACACCCTATAGTTTAAACTTATCAGACCAACTTATCAGGCTCAGATATAAACCTGTGAGCCTGAAAAATAACCTAACGTCAGCGTAACACATTTCCAAACTCTCTTAAAGGAAACGACCCTAAAACACAGGAGGAGGCTGAGGGGAGACCTCATCGCGGCCTACAGCTCCTCACAAGGGAAGGAGGAGGGGCAGGCGCTGATCTCTTCTCCCTGACGACCAAGGACAGGACCGAGGGAACGGCAGGAAGATCTGCCAGGGGATGGTTAGGCTGGCCATTAGGAAAAGGTTCTTCACCCAGAGGGTGGTAGAGCACTGGAACAGGCTCCCCCGGCAGGCAGTCACGGCGCAGAGCCTGCCAATATTTAAGAAGCATTTGGACGACGCCCTCAGACACATGGTGGAATTTTGGGGTTGTCCTGTGCAGGGACAGGAGTTGGACTCGGTGATCCCTGTGGGTCCCTCCCAGCTCAGGACACTCTATGAACATAACCGAGTGTCCCACGACGGGCTGGCATTTCAGTCACCAACACGCCCAGGTGTTGAGAGCTGCCAGGGTATCGGAGCACCTGATGCTCAGCCAACACAGGCACGAATAAATTCTAAGAAAAACGAGAACAGCCTTTCGCACCGAGCGTGTAGGCTGCGAGCTCAATTACAAGTGAACGTTGAATTCAGCTGAATACATCCGAACTGAATACAACTGAACATTGAGTTCAGCTGTTGGGAGAAAAAAACCCACGAGGCTTTTCTCACCACAGGGAGCAGACGGGGTGGATGTGAGCGCTGATGATTTTGGCGATGCCCCTGGTGAGGAAGTCCCAGATGACGATGCGCCCGTCGTTGCAGCCCACGGCGAGCAGCGTGCCCCAGCGGTTGAAGGTGCAGGTCAGGGCCATGCTGATGCAGTCCAGCGTCCCGTCGGCCTCCTGCGGGGAGAGGGCAGCCGAGCGGGGGGGGTCAGGCG